ATATATATATGAGTTAATTGATGTCATGCATACATATACATATACATACATATATATATATATATCGATCGGTTGCATGCATGTGTGTTTGCGTGTAGATGCATAAATACATATGTGCACACGTATATATACATATATATATATATGTGTGTGTGTAATGTGCACACATGCATATATATATATATATTATATACATATATACATATATATATAATATATATTATATATATATTATGTGTGTATATACATGTATGTGCATGTTATATATATATGTATATATGTATATATATATATACGTGTATATTGTCACAATATGCATGTATATATATATACATGCATGTGTGTATATATATAATATATATGCATGTTATATATATATATGATATATATATATATATGATATATATATATATGTGTGTGTGTGTATTCATGTGTATATGTATACATACGTTGGGCGCAATGCCGCATGTGCGCACCCAACCATGTTTAATTAACAGAATCTATTTATCTAAGCAGAGCCATGTTTAATTAAGCAGAAACACTGCTTAATTTAAGCAAGAAACGTGTATTTAAGCAAGGTTCATGTTTAATTAAGCAGACAATGGTTAAACAAGCGATTTTTTTAAGCGAGAACAATTTAAATAAGCCCGAATTTGTTAAATAAGCACTTTTGGAATTTCTGGGTTGCGAACCTCCGCGAGAAGTACACCATCAAGGTGAATGGGCCCTTCTTTCCCGGGGACGAGTTCGAGTTCCTCAAGCGCAGGTTTCGCATTGAGGCCGACGGCAGCATCACGGTGCGTGCGGCGGCCCACTTCTACCTGGACATCCACAACCTGCTGGGCGAGCCGCGGCTGAGGAACACCCCTGGGCCAGTTGGCGACCTTTTCATGGTTGACGACAGAAGGCGCTCGGCCCCACCGACGGCACCCTTTTCAGAACAGTGGTGGGGAAGCTTCTTTATATAGCCGCCGAGCGCCCGGACGTGCAGGTGGTTACCCAGTTCCTGGCCTCCAAGGCGGCGGCGCCAACCGAGGGGGCACTTCGCGTGCTCAAGCACCTGGCCGGCTTTATGAAGGCGACTGAGGGCCACGGTGTGAACCTTAAGGCAGCCAAGGGGGCATCGATCGTGGGCTTTGCGGCCCACGACACCTACGACCAGCACGTGGTGGAAGCAGTCAGCGACTCCAACTTTGCCACCGACCGCGCCACCCGCAAGAGCCTTTCGAGCGGCCACGTGTACATCGACCGCTGCCTGATGTTCTCCTTCGTGCGCAGCCAAAAGGTGGTGACGCTCAGCTCTGGTGAGGCTGAGCTGGTGGCACTGACCCAGACGGTTGGGGAGAGCATCCTCAGTCACAAGGCGTGGGAGTTCTTAACTCGCGCCAGTGCCGACCACGTGGCCAGGAGCGACTCTTCGGTGGCCCGGGCAGACTCGGCGTGGGCCGGGTGAAGCACCTCCAGACCTCAAGTTTGTGGATACAGCAATGGGTCCACAGAAAGGAGCTGCGCGAGCAGCCATTGGCACCGCTCTCAACCCGACGGACATGGGCACGCAAATCCTGTCAGCCAACAGACTGCGCATGCTGTGCGCTGTGGCTGGCATGGTGGACGATGATGGCAACAAGGTCGGGAAGGAGGAGCTGAAAGCCGAGCTTTGCAAAGCAAAGGGGGTGAACGCCAAGACCCTCCACCTGGTGCAGCTGCTGATGGCCAGCACCCTTCAAGGATGCACCCAAGAGGGCTATGAGGACACGAGTGTCTACCTGCTCTTCTTCCTGGACTTGCTCGGCACCTTCTACGAGGAGTACCCTACCGGTTTCACGTTCCTCTTTGCAGCCCTCGTGTTCCTGGCGGTGGCGTTTCTCGGCTACCTCAACGGCGTGCATTGGAGGATGACCCTCCAAATTGGGCGCGGGCCCACCTCAGGGCTTGAGCCAGGTTGCGGTGAAACTGGGCCAGCGCAGACCAAAGAGCCCAAGAACAGCGAGAACACCGAGAACACCGAGAACACCGAGGACACCGAGAGCAGCCGGAGCAGCCAGAGCAGGGACACCGAGCAAGGACGCAGGGGCACCGAACAAGGCGAGACCAGCCAAGGACACCGACGCGAGACCCCGCTCGACCCCGAGGTGGTGAACCGCATGAACGCGTGGATGGAGGAGAATGTGCTACCTCTTTTAGGAGTGGCGCAAGAAGTTGAGGCACGGCCTTCGGGAGCCACGTCCTCGCAAGAACCTCCACCAGTTCCACCTGGGCACCTTCGGACGGCGCGTGGCACAGTGGACCCCACCGGCCTCAATCTCGGCAGGATTGTGAGGTCTGCGCCAAACTGGGGGTATGGATACCATGTGGCTACCTGCTCGTCGTTTCGGAGGGCGGCCCGGAGCTTCAGAGACAGCACTGTACAGGAGGCCCTTGAGAGGGGACTTTTCCCATGTGAACAGAGTTGCCGTGGGGACCACGATGTCCTTTCGAGCCGGAATCGCAGCTATTTTGAGCAAAAGCCTCGGCGACGGCACCGGTGAACCAGCTCATGGATGAATCCAAGAGCTGAGGGGGCATGTTAGTGTAAATCAGCCCTCAGTGCCGTGAAGCTTTCATGTCATTTGCTTGTGCATTCAGGCATGAGTTCTGAAGCCACGAGTGAAGCATGGCCCCTGCAAGGATGACACGCACAAATTGTGCATTCGACGCAGCCCTTTGCGAGCAGGTAAAGGAGTGAATTTTCAAAAACCAACATAAGGCAACTACAGCCAAACAAAAACACGGGTTCCCTGAAGTTCTACAAAGGGTCAGCCAATAAAGGGATATGTCATATATATTATAGTTTATATTATATAATATATATATATATAATATCTATTATTATATTTATATTATAAAGTCTATATGTCTTATATATATATATGATATACCGAATATATAAACTATAGATAATCTATAATATAAACATAGATTTCTATATATAAAAAATAATATATATACATACACATACATACTATATATATATGTATATTATATATATTCAATAAATTACATATATATATATACACTATATTTTATGTAGTATATAGTAACCCAAACCAAGTCCTAAACAGAGACTCACCCTAAACCCTAGGCCCTAAACCCTAAACCCGGAGTAGACCCTAAGCTCTAAAGCCTTGCCAAGTCTAGGTCGCAACTTCCGGACAACTACGACGACGTCGCATCCTTGCCGTCCCCAGCGTCCCCAGCGTCCCGCGCTGGCGTCCCTAGCGTCCCGCCCCCAGCGTCCCCAGCGTCCCTAACGTCCCCAGCGTCCCCAGCGTCCCTGGCGTCCTTGGCGTCCCGCGGCACAGACGGAGCCATAATCCGGATCTAGTAGACCGAGGTGAGGAACGACAGCTGCGTTCCGTAGTAGGCAGTCTTTCGTGGATATCTAGGCAGGCCAGGCCAGATATACTGTACCGTGTATCGAAGCTTCAGAGCTCGATAAAGGTTGCTACCAAAGCTATCCTGCGCGAGGCAAACAAATTGTTGGAACTAGCACTCAAGGGCAGGGATCTTAAGCTAACGTGCCGTAATGGAATTTTCGACTTTGAGAAGTTAGGTGTGCTGACCGCGTCCGATGCGAGTTTTGCCTGGGAATCCAATAGGTCCCAGCAAGGGAGGATTCATTTCATAGCTCCTGCAACGCAGTTATGTGATCCCTCCTGTGACAAGTACGATGTTATGGTTGTATGGTTCTCGAGCACAACCATCAAGAGAGCGTGCCGTGCGACACTTGAGGCAGAAACGCACGCACGATAGAACGGACAGGAGGCTGGAGATAGAATCCTAGCTGTGCTAGCCTAGATTTACATATTCGGATCCAAAGGGACCTCATGGCAGACTTTTGCGAGAAGCCAGGTACCCAAGTCAGCCTTACATTACAGATTGTAGAAGCTTGGCCGACCATCTGAACTCCGACGCGCCCGCGCGGGTTCAAGATAAGCGACGACAACTTCAGCCAAGCACTTTACGCCAACGTATCTTCACAGAAGATGGCAATCGCACTTGTGAGGTCTACCCCGGTGGAGGAGACCGTGTTGACTGGATCGACACGACTACGCCTACGCAGGCCTTTGACTGTTTCACGAAGTCAGTGAAACCGCATTTTATCATTCGATTGATCGAGTCTGGTGTGTACAAAGTCAGTAGGGCTGAGTTGTAGAATCGCAGACACTGAGTAAGACGACCACAGATTCTATCATATGGATCGCATCAGTTGGGTAAGTCGCAGACACCACTTGCGTATCATACCCGTTTGTTATGTGGTTGAGTAGTACATGGTTCGGTAGCCTGTACAGCATCTTCTACGCTCAAGACAAGAAAACAAGCTGAGTGTGAATCACCGACCTCCATTTTCAAGATATATTTTCGAAGCTTGACATGCTCATTTCTGATCAGCAGTTGAGCATGTGTTTGGCGGTTGTGCTATCACATGAAAGGCATCCGCGATCTGCACCTCCGAAAGCCGGATTTTGAAATTAGTTTTTGGTTTCAACCCATACCCGATGCGTACCCGGAATTAGGTGGCATAGCAGTATATCAAGCAGGACGCCAATGCACAGGGTGCAGTTGATGACCCTAAATCGGCCCAATCGAGCCTTCAGTCTGTCCGTGCGAGTTGGTGATGTCGAGGAGCAAAGTTGCTTGCAGGCGGCTTGCGAACATCAATGCGCCGGTTTCTATGGCGTCCACCTGAAGTTTTTCTGATGTGTCCTGTGCTTGTACCTTGCTTGTCACTTTTGGTTGTTGCGCTGAAGCTCACGCTATCTGTCTTTGCGAAACCCACGGTGTCTTCCCAAGCGGCCCGCAGAGCTAACAAGCCCTACCAGCCTAGATGGTCGGGGCCTGCCAAGATCTGTCAGCAGCTTTCACCTTTTTCTTGCGTCGCCTATGGTAAAGGGCTCCAGAACTCGGCTGGGGGAAGCGTGGGGCGGTTTCGTCGCCCTGCGCCGCGGTTGTCCCAAGCCATGGCAAAAGGAGGCCTGCAGCCGCACCGTCCCGAGCAAGGGTGCGGTGCGATCAAGTGGTGCGGACGCGGGACGCATGGGCAGGCAGCCTTCTCTCCACTCTGATTGCCATTGCGCTCGGCTTGGCTCTGTGTCTCGGCTGTACCTCCAGGTCTCCCGCCATCTCACGTCCTTGTTTGACATTGCAGGTTGATGGTGGCCCAGCAGTACTGGGCTAAGACTTAGAGAGAACACCTGTGACTTTTCTGCGGCTTCTGCTGCAAGCATTTGGCGTCTGTGCTTCTCTCCTGTCAGGTGCTTCTTGACAACTACACCGACGCCACCCTCGGGCAATGCTCAGCCACGGCACGCGCAAAACAGGGCCCCTCTGATGCATCTGCCGCAGCCGCACTGATTTGGATTGAACCGAAAGTGTAGCCTTCGCAAGCCTTGAAGACCACATCAGCAAGGTGGACCTGCAACTCCACAATGCGCCGATGGTGCCAATGGAAGGTGGAGTTGTCCGTCTCAGCTATTGCTCTCTGAGCTTGCCAGGGTGTACTTCTTGTACGGTGTGTCTCTGCAGGTGATTTTGCAGCTGGTTCCCTTTTCGCTGGTTCAGAAGCTCTCTCTCTTGAGGGCGCTGACCGGGAAGTCAACGTGAAGCCCACAGTTTATCGCTGCAGGGCTTTTGTGTGCATACCCTCCCGATCAGGTTGCAATGTTCAACAAGAAGCGCACGAAACGAGGACGTGTGGGGAAGTCCCTGTGACGCTCCTCTCTAACTGCCTGTGCGCAGACCGAAGTGAGGGTTGGACCCTGCGAAAGAAGTTTCGCAGTTGCTGGATTCCTGGCGGTCCTGGCGCCCGCCTGTCCAGTGAGACTTGCAGCGACAGTTTTAAGGCTCCCTTCTGGCCCGCGCTGCCACCGCGAAGGGCCGGAAGGAACGGTCCGAACAGTGTCGGAACTTCTCGACAGCCTCAAGTCTGATGTTTGGCCCAGATTCTGAAGAAGCGCATGTGGCGCGGCAAGAAAGTGCTTGCACCCGGCGACTACTGCAACTACAAGATGCAGAGAGCCGGGCTCCTATACATCAGCGACATTCCAGCTCTTCTGGAGCCACATCTTCTCCGCCTCTTCCCCGGATTCTGAGGTGAAGAAGTTGCGCTAGGTCCATGGGGCGCTCTCACTCCCAGGCGACGGGATCCTCCGACATCGCTGCTCTAAGCAGAAAGGGAGCGGTGGATTCTGCACTCTGCACTCCTCTGCACTCCGAGTTTTGCCCCCCTTTTCGGCTCTTAGGGTCGGGACTCGGGGCGGACTCGGGACCCGAATCGCCTCTGCGGGTAGCGAACTCCTCCATTTCCCCCTCGTGAGCCCGGACCTCGGCTCACTCGGCCTCACTCGCCCTCGGCCTCGGCACGGAAAAAACGAGGTGATGAGGTCACAAAGATCCTCGATGCCTGGGAATTACCTCTCCAGGCACCTGGCAGTAGCAGCAGCAGTAGCAGTAGAATCCTGGGGCTGCGAAGCTTTGGTCCAAAGGCCGTCTTTCCCGCCTGGTACCGGCTTGTCCAAAGCCTTTGCCCGCCAGCGCCTGGACGTGCAGACCGTCCTCCAGCGGGGAAGCCCAGAAAGGGCGGCGAAGCCACAAAGGAAGCAAGCAGTGTTCGCAAAGACAACCGCAGCAAATAGGGATGGGTTTTCGGTCGCCCTCTAGTAGGACTCAAGAGGCCCTTAGGGCCGTCTCTTTTTTTCTCAAGGTGCCTCTTCTTCCCCTGGCTGCTCTTCTGTGCCACGTATGCGCTGCTGAGACGGCCTCAGAATGTTTCGAAGTGTGTGCCTCTCTTTTTTGCGTCGCTACTTGCTTCGATGGCAAGAAGCGGGCAAACACGGCGGCAATGCAGGTCCTGCTCCCTGCACTTCTACCGGCCGAGCCTCACCTACTCCTTGGTGGCCCTCGCAGCGCTGCCGCCCACGGTGCTCACGTGGACGGTTGTTTTTGGGTCTTGGGGTGAGGTCAGCCAACCCCCACCTGTGTCGGGGATTTATGTATCGAGGTATGTGAAGCACGCAGCAACCAAACAAGTCTGAACGTGCTTCCTCTTTTCAGACCTCCAGGCCACCAAGAGTGCAATGTCCATCCTACCGGAAAAGCCTGTGTTCACAATATGGCATGCATCAGAGTTTCAGAGCTGGACACTTCCAACACGCACCGACGCGAGGGAAATTTAGGACCGGAGGACTTGGGCAGGGGGCAGCGCTTGCAGGACGGCAGCGGGCGCAAGATGCGAGGGGCGGGCGCATCGCAGGGAGGGACGGGGGACTGGGGACGGGTCGCGGGGAAATCGAGGGCCGCGCCGGTGCGTGAGACAACTTCACGCGAAGCCAACCCAATTCATACACAGAATTCAACAACAGGAGACCTTGTCCAACAAAATCCTCGAACAGAATCTAGCACTAGGAAGACACTGTGTATCATAATATACCAAATATCATGAATCCCCTGAGCCAAGCCATTTTAACATCAGACCAAAGCTCTTGTCTAACAGAAGATCCTGGCTAAAAGAAGACCGTGTCAAGGGGCGCGGCTTCCTAGGTGCACGCGCGCTCTGG